AAATAACCAAACCAAATCTAAAGTTGACCAAAAACTGATTCATAACGCCTTTGGTACTAATGTTGGAGAGTGGTCCCTGGTCAAAGTGGTCCCTGGCTAAGTGGTCCCTGTCAAGGTGGTCCCTGGTCAAGTGGTCCCTGATCTATCTATCTATCTATCTATCTATCTATCTATCTATCTATCTATCTATCTATCTATTCAAGCTGTGGGTGGTTAATTCCATGGATTCAACTTCACCTTTGAGAAAAGAGTAAAACAGAGGTAACTAGAAATATGGTGTTCTTGAGAAATGGTGTTGTATTTCCTGATTTTTTTCCAAAAAAAATGAGGAAATACAACAAAATGTTGCCACTTCCCCACTCATTTGTCTTGCCTGGAAAAGCTCTAAGGAATTTATCACATAATGCTGGTAAACTGTAATTACAGCAGGATAATAACATCAGCAGTCAGTACTTATCACATGTTGTCATATCTATCCCGTTGCTGCCTTGCATGTAAAGTGTTAGTGGAGTACACCTTTTCATTGATATGCATAGAAAAATGCATCAATTGTCTCATTATCGCTGCTAGAGCGGGCGTGATTCCCCTCCTCTCCCTCTCTCTTCCCCTCTCCCTCTTGCTACTCCTAAACAAACAGAAATTGTCTTATGTTTGGAAGAGAGGTCGCCTGGGAAGGGAGAGAGAGGCTTGGCAAGATTAGCTCTGATTTTGCTCTTTCCCCTCTAGAAAACATCCCCTTTCTTAATCCAACACTCCTCCCTTTAGGTTTATTACTCCTCACCACTCCCCTCCCCTGATTTATTTTATTTATCCCCCCCCCCTCCGCCACCGCCTTTCTCACCCCTTTCTCAGAGCAGTTTACAACATAGTAATAGCAAAAATTCAATGCCAACATACATGTAGACAAAAAATCATAATAACTAAACATTAACATATAACTATCAATTAAAATTACAAAAAACATTAAATATAAGACATAAACATTTAAACATTAAGACAAGCATTAAAAACATCCTGGTATAAATATTAAAATCATGTGATCCGAAAATCATATACCCTATTGGCCATTCCGAATTGTCATTGCATATATTTCCTAATTATTTTTTGCACTGAGTTATTTTACTGGCCAAAGGCATGGTCCCACAACCACATCTTTGTTTTCTTTCTCTAAAGGGCGGGAGGGAAGTCGCTGATCTAATCTCACTGAGGAGAGAGTTCCAGAGCTGAGGAGACACCACTGAGAAGGCCCTGTCTCTCATCCCCACCAACCGTACTTGCAACGGAGGCAGGACCGAGAGCAGGGCCTCCCCAGAAGATCTTAACTTACGTGATTGTTCATAGAGGAGATACATTCAGAAAAGTAAACTGGGCTGGAACTGTTTAGGGCTTTGTGGCTAAAGCCAGCACTTTGACTTTTGCTCGGTAGCTAACTGGCAACCAGTGGAGCTGAGAGAGAAAAGAAGGAGCAAAGGACAAGGGCACAATAGCGCAATTGCAGACAGGTGTGATAGTGATTGTATATTCTTGATACATCCTCATTCACTTCCACAATGCAATTGTTATAAGAACACAGGCTGGTGTGATAAAGTCCTAAAACACCAAGGGTCTCTCCTGCATCTGAACCATTAGCAGAAAAAAGCCATCATCTTTGCATTCTGTTTTTGGCATTACCATATCCATTTTCAGGAGGAAGCTTGTTGACTTCATTTCCTGAAATACCAATAGCATGAATGGTGAATAGACAGTGTTGCTGCTATCAGTTCAAGTGGAATCAACAGATACAAGTGGTTAAGTCAAGGTTCCAATGAAAAGTCACTCCTGGATGTCCAGACAATGTCCAGAGACTTTCAGTTGGTAATATGGAGTAAAATTGATGAACCTGCAACAACAGGGGCAACAGTCCAGGTAAGGGTGACTGTCCAACAGAGCTAATCCACGTTTGGCCAAATGGGAAAGTCTGGACTCCCACCATTGCTGTAGTTCAGGGACAGAGTGTGTAAATAGCTCTGCTGGATCAAGGACCAGTTTTAAGCAGGAATGCTTTGGACTGGCCCTGAATTACAATAACCATGTAGTTGAGCCCTTTGTCAAAGCCATGATGGCTTTGACCTTCTCATCTTATCACATGGTTTGTAGTCCGAAGTTGAGCCCTTTGTTGTGCTCTGCATCAAAACCACAACTCTTGATACATAATATTACATAGTGATGTGTGCTATGATGGTGAAGTTGACTACAGAGAACCAAATGGTGGAAGCAAAGAATGTTAGTTCCTGTAATATAGACAGATGTATTGTCGATATGTGGTAGGTATTGGTTATAAAAATAAAAGTCCATTTTTTTTAATCTTCCTGTGATTTCTACCTTCCTCCTGTACACTTCAGTTCAAAGCCTGTGTGACTTCGTAGCAGTCCTTTAGCATGCAAAATATATTACATTTACTGGAACCAGTCACAAATGAAAAGGCTGTAATTCATTGTATTCCCTGCTTCTTTAAAATGCAAGGAGGGTTCCTGCAGGGGATGCCAACTCCAGGTCTGTGCCAGGGCCATCTGTTATTCACTGTAGCTCTGCAGGAAGTTATGACCCGGCATAACGAATACACTGTGCATTTACATCAAAATTCTGTTCCCTTTTCCTCCAGCTGCCAAGGAGAAAGGGCAGTGCTCAACACATTCTAACCATCATGATGGCTTTGACCTTCTCATCTTATCACATGGTTTGTAGTCCGATTTCGCTACCTGCCACAATGCAGCTGACAAGAAGGCTCAAATAAAGTCAGCATTCAACCCATATTTTGGCAGGCTGAGAAAGGAGTACATGGTCTTGTGCCCAATAGTGGAGCCAAATACTGTCATTTCCCATCAAAAGTAGAACATTTGCTCCTGTTTCTAATGGCTGATTATATTTTCCTGAATTATCAAAGTACTGTATGGCATGCCATCCAGATCTTTTGTACGTTAATCATGGGTTTTCAGCACGAAACACTGCAGATCTGCTTTATCTCTGCAGCATTTTCTGACTGACCTGTCAGGTTTTTGTACAGGCCTAGATCAAGTAATTTCAAGGAATTGAGATAATAGTATCTAGGACTTGTGAGAAAGCAAAAATGCCTTGGATGTTCTAAAAAAGGTTAGAAGAGGATTCAGAAGAGAGTTGCCCAATTTTAAAGTAACACAAAAGAAAGGGACTTATGTTGCAGGAATAAAGTATGTAAGAATAGAATGCTGTAACTTTATGACTATCACTTGCTACAAATTCCTTCTCAAATAATACATCAAAAACTCAGTGAAAGGGGAGGCTGGCTTGTCCTAAGGTGGTGTTGGTGTTTTGAAAGACCATCCAGAACTAATCTTAAAAGGTATGTCATAAAATTAACCAAAGCATTAATCCCTAAAGTCCATATCTACAGTCCAGACACAGATCCACCAGAGCTAGATAATAGATTTTTGAGGATCAAACATGTTTTTATTTGAGAATCAAACAAGTTAACACACTGAAAACAATTCCTCCCCTGCTCCAGATAATCTCCTATAGGTAGAAGAAGTTACTCATTTTGCCAGGATAGCAGTAGACTTGATTTTGTAGAGCTTAACAAGTTATTAGACACCTCATCACACATACCTTAAACAGTGTAGTAGAACACTTCCACCTTGACTTGGGAATGGAGTCCCATGCCAGCCATCACATGACATTGTGTGACTTCCAGCTGAGGCCCTGCTCCCAACTGGAGTCAAAGCATCGCCAGAGGCCTCACTCTCAACATAGGTTTCCCCATGTTGTGCTGGCTCCATTGGATCTTTGACCCTTGGGCGACACTTCCTCCACGTGATAGGGAAAGCGTCACTGAGAGGGAACTGCATGCGAGGCAACAGATTCACCCCTCTGCCCCCTTTTCTCCCAAAAGTCAGACAAAGTGGGACATTTTGCTTGGCCTTTGTGATTTATTTTTTCATGTCAGGAACTACTTGAGAAACTGCAAGTCGCTTCTGGTATGAGAGAATAGGCAGTCTGCAAAGACATTGCCCAGGGGGCACCCAGATGTTTGCTATTTTACCATCTTGTGGGAGGCTTCTATCATGTCCCTGCATGGGAAGCTAGAGCTGAGACAGGAGCTCACCCTGCTCCCCGGATTCAAACCACCAAAAGTCCTGCCAGCACAAGTGTTTAACCCATTGCACCACCGGGGGCTCCTGCCTTTGTGAGGAGGCCCTAACAGCCTTCAGGAGTCTATTGGGAACTTCTTTCAAATTACATTCATAAACTTCATAAACTGTTCCCAAAGCCCCCATAAGCTCAGTTTTCATGGGTAAAGATAACTGTAGGATCATGTCTGATATGAATCCAACTTCCAGATTTTTAACCAAGCAGACCTGTTCCTCATATAATAAGTTTGTTTATTTGTTTTGTATGATGCCTGTATTTCCTCCTAAATAAAAACCAATTAAAATGATTCAAAGATAAAACATTTTTAAAGTTCCTAAAAACAGTTCAAACCATCCCTAGAATCCAGTTTTGAAACAGTTAAAAACAGCAATGTTCAACTGCATTGTTTGAGTTATTGTATGACGTCTGCTTAACTTCCTTGGGTAGGTAGTTCCACAATCAATTGTTTTATTGCTTTTACATGGTTTATATTATATGTAATGTTTATGACTGTATTTTATTTGTGGGGCATTGACTGCCAACTGTAAACTGTCTCAAGTTCCCTCCGGGCTGAGAGGGGTGGTATATAAATATGGTGAATAAATAAATAATAAATAAATCAAGATGCTGCTCTGGAAAAAGCTGTGCTACATGTGCCCACCAACCTAATTTTACAAAAGGTTGGATCACAAAACAGGGCATCCTCTGAAGATCTCGAATTTATGGTAGACTCTTAGTGGAAGAGGCAGACTTTCAGATATCCCTATCCCAAGTCACTGAGGACATCGTTGCTCTTGGACCATTTAATTGGTTTGTAGAATTATTCACTTCTTGCTTTATTCTCTCTTCTTCAGGATATTCATCAATTGCAACGCCATCTTGACTGAATTTTCAGAAGAATGGAAAGCGTGAGTGAACTTCAGAATCCCTTGTTGGCCAAGAACAATGGACATCTCCACAACAGTTACACCTTTCGTCAGGATTATCCTGGCCATCGTTGCCAGGGCAAACTGTATTCCTACATTTTCCAAAATTCTGGCAATGCAAGGACTCACCAGCTGCTGGATGCCAGCTCTCTTCAGCTGGCAGTGGAAGCACTGTATGGCCCAAATTTCATCCTGGTGAAGGATGAAGCAAGTGTTAAAGTCAAGGACAACAAAGGTGAGAGTTGTGAGACAACCTTTACAGAAAATAAGGAATCGCTTGCTGAGGCTGCTGATGGGCAGGAAACACAAGGACACTCCCTAATGGAAAATGATATCAAAATCCAGACAGTATCCTATGAAGTGGAAGAAGAGGAATTACAGGAATATGAGGTACATTTATTAATCCATTTTTAACAAACAATGTGATTCTCTTCTGAGGGTGCATACTTAGAATAGGAGATACATATGGACAATATTTTTTTAAATATAAAATAATTAATAGTCGATGGAATTGAGCCATATGCTACAGCGTCATTTCTCTCACCTGATATATAGTTTCCCTTTTTTTCTGAAGACTGAAAGCATCATATATTAAAAATAGTGTAGCTGGAAATAGTCAAGAGAGGCATGCAATTAGAATGAGAGGCAGTTTTTCCTAGCTTTGGACTTAATGCAAGGCAGGTATGTTGCTGAAAATGAAAAATTGCTCCATTTCACCAACATTCAAAGAAAACTATTTCCCCAAGAAACCCCAAATCCCCAGCCAGTGACCTGAGAAATTTGCTTGGGAGAAAAATGAGAACCTATTTTCACTTAGTTGTTGAAATTTTACTCCCTACCCAAATAGACAGAGCGCTGATGTTTACAAAAACTTTACAATTTATAGAAACTTTTCAAGTCCATTTTCTCCCATATTTAAAATGGTGAAAAGAAGCAGAAAAAGCAAATATGTGAAAGCAGAACTAGAAAGAAGGTCAAATGACAGTGAGAAGAAAGGCTGTAAAATACTTAATGAACGGAAGAGTAGAAGAGTGAAAATGCACCTTAAATGCCATGGTGATGATAGATGTCCTAGAAATATTATATTCAGACAATGCAGTGAAAGCAGCTTTCAGTGGGAGAAAAGAAAAATCTGTAGGGTGCCAATTGTTTCACATCAAGGGCTGAAACTGACAACAGTAAGTACGATTTTTTACACTGTTACTATTATTACTATTATCCTCGTCACCATCATCATTGTTATTATGTAGCTTTCTGAATTACTATGTCACACTGAGTTATTTAACAATGAAAGGTTATCTCCTGAATACACGTAACTTCAAGTTCCATTGAAATAAACTGAACTTTCCTCCAAAGGAATATAATTGTGATCTGACCAATCTTTGAAACAATGACTAGTCTCCAGTGTAACAGAAAACAAACGATTGCTTTTCTTGTGAAACCAAGTGCTGATTTTACAGTAAATTCTAAGAATTATTCTTCAGGAAAATCAAGGGATCATACAATTGGAAGAGACCTCATGGGCCATCCAGTCCAACCCCCTGCCCAGAAGCAGGGAAATCATATTCAAAGCACCCCCAACAGATGGCCATCCAGCCTCTGTTTAAAAGCCTCTGAAGAAGGAGCCTCCACCACACTCCGGGGCAGAGAATTCCACTGCTGAACAGCTCTCACCATTAGGAAGTTCTTCCTCCTGTTCAGGTGGAATCTCCTTTTCTGTAGTTCAAAGCCATTGTTCCACATCCTAGTCTCCAGGGCAGCAGAAAAAGAGCTTGCTCCTTCCTTCCTATGACTTCCCATCTCATGGCCATGTCGTCTCCTTTCAGCCTTCTCTTCTGCAGGCTAAACAGAAGCCGCTCTTCATAGGGCTTATTCTCCAGACCCTTGATCATTTTAGTCAGCCTTCTCTGGACACATTCCAGCTTGTAAACATCTCCCTTCAGCTGTGATGCCCAAAATTGGACACAGTATTCCAAGTGTGTCTGACCAAGGCAGAATAGAGGGGTAGCATGACTTCCCCGGATCTAGACACTATACTAGTATTTATGCAGGTCAAAATCCCATTGGCTTTTTTCGCCGCCGCATAACATTGTTGGCTCATGTTTAATTTGTTGTCCACAAGGACTCCAAGATCTTTTTCAAACATACTGCTGTTGAGCCAGGCATTGTCCCCCATTCTGTATCTTCGCATTTCATTTTTATTACCTAAGTGGAATATCTTGCATTTGTCCTTGTTGAATTTCATTTTGTTAGTTTTCTGACAGGATCCTTCTGAATTAAGTAGTTTGAGAATGTCAGCAAAATTTCATAAGGCCGGGGCATAGATTTACTAATCTATGAGCCAGTTTTTCTGCTGGTTCAATTTGATAGTCTAACGTCTTAGAATTATGACTGCATTTGTCAGATTTTTAGGGAGAGTAGGGGGGATAGGCATGTTTGCACATTAGGTGTAACTACTTAGATACGCTAACAGCAGATATGGTGCTAACTAGTTTCAGCATTTATAAGAGTAAAAACTGGAGATAACCTTTATAGCTTTCATGATTGCACAGAAGAATTTCAGCAGCTGTTATTTGTCATGATGAAATCCCCTCTTCTATACAACCATTGAAGTACACAAACTCTCTTTGGTTTTTACTCTGACAACTTATTGGTGAAAGCTACATATTTCTTCTTGGCAATAACCTCACTAAAGTCCTTTTGAGGTCTATAAAATACCTGCCCAACCCCCACTCTAGATAAAATGCTTGTGGACAGGATCCAGGGAGATCTTTCTTAACCAGAATGTTAAGTGGCACCTCTGCAGCCTAATAGATTTCACGGCTTAAATCCAATTACTTGTCCCAACTAGAGTAGACTTGCTGAATCAGTTAGATTTATGTTGAGTCCTGATTTATCATTAATCAGTTGACTCAGTGGGTCTACTCTCAGAGCAGCAATTGGATTTTGGCCCAGATATTTTGAACTACGATGTGAGGAATAATAATGCCAACGAGATTGTTGCAAGCCACTAATTCATATTAGTTACTGTTTTTTGCAAATGAAACAGTCTATGGTCCCTTCCACACAGCTGAATAAAATCCCACATTATCTGTTTTGAACTGGAATATAGGGCAGTGTGGACTCAGATATTCCAGTTCAAAGCAGATATTGTCACTTATTCTTCCTTGATATTCTGGGTAATATGGCTGTGTGGAAGGACCCTTAGTCTGCAGCCTAAGGGCCCTTCCACACAGCCCTATTTCCTAGAATAACAAGACAGAAAATTCCACATTATCTGAGTGTGGACTCAGATAACCCAGTTCAAAGTAGATATTGTGGGGTTTTCTGCCTTGATATTCTAGGATATAGGGCTGTGTAGAAGGACCCTAAGTCACAGAGATTGACTCTATCTCCAATATGTGTGGTGGAACATTACCACTGAGACTACATCATATATTTCAGGGCCCTTCCACACAGTCCTATATCCTAGGATACCAAGGTAGGGAATCCTACATTATCTAAGGCCCCTTCCACACAGCCAACTAAAATCCCACATTTTCTGCTTTGAACTGGAATATATAACAGTGTGGACTCAGATAACCTAGTTCAAAGCAGATATTGTGGGATTTTCTTGATATTCTGATATTCTGGGATATAGGGCTGTGTCGAAGGGCCCTGAGTGTGGACTCAGATAACCCAGTTCAAAGCAGATATTGTAGGGTTTTCTGCCTTGATATTCTGGGATATAGAGCTGTGTGAAAGGGCCCTTAGTGAGGAAGTTTCCTAGCCCATGGTCTGCCTGCTATGTATCAAGGGGAATGTGTTGTCCAAATTGCATTGGGTTAGCCTACTGTTCTCCCTGGATGCTCTGCAAGCCAGGCTTACTTTGCACCATTGGTCACCATCCTTGAATTAATTTGCTTTCCAGAGTGACTCTTCAAGTGACAGCGAGAGTGAAGATAATTTCCTGATGCTTCCTCCACGAGACCACCTGGGCTTAGCTATTTTCTCAATGCTCTGCTGTTTCTGGCCTCTGGGAATTGCTGCCTTCTACTTTTCTCAAGGGGTAAGAATTAGCATCTTCTGATGTTTCCTTCTGCATCCAATGTTCTTTTTGGATTACTAAACTGCTCTTTAAAGGGAGCCCAACAGGGTTGAATGAATCAATATAAGAAATACAGCACAGTATTTAATAGGATCCCTGGTAGCATAAATTATTTGATGGCTTCTTAATTCAGACAGGCTCCTATAGTAGAAGATTACTTTTACAAATACACACATTTAACTCGAACCAATCCAAGAGATCATGGGTCTCAAGGAACAAAATAACGTCTTCCAAAGAAGACCTCTCTGAGATCATTTAAGGCCCCATCTACACTGCCATGTAATCCAGATTATCAAAGCAGATAATCCAGATTATCAAAGCAGATAATCCATATTATCAAATAGATAAACCACATTATCTGCTTTGAACTGGATTATCTGAGTCTACACTGCCATATAATCCAGTTCAAATAAGATAATATGGATTTTATACAGCTGTGTAGAAGAGGCCTTAAAGAAATTGCACAGGCTGCCAGTATTTTTCCACTCTGAATTCAAGATGCTAGTAATGAAATTTAAAGCCCTAGAATTTTGGTATTTGAAAAATTACAGTATTACCCTGGCCATGGATTGAGATCTTCTGGAATGGCCCTGTCCTGCCCCATTAGAGGGAGCAATACACAAAAAGACCTTCCACACAGCCATATGACCCAGAATATCAAGATAGATAATCCACAATATCTGCTTTTAACTGGATTATCTGAGTCCACGCTGTCATATAATCCAATTGCATGCTGCAAGTCACATGAACACCTCAGCAAGCAAGAGTCCAAAAGTGGCAGACTAAAACCCAGAACCTCAATCCATGGCTGATATCAAATGACAGAGCCCCCCCCCCCCCCCCGGGCACACAGAAGACTAGACGACTTGGAAGACATTGAAGAGACTGCACTCCAGGGGGTTGGTTGGACTGGATGGCCCTCTTCCAACTCTATGAGTCTGTGATTCTAACAACAACAACCATCTATCGATCTAAATAAATAACATATGATTCTCAGGTAGTGATAAAAGTATACAATAACAAACTATATAAGTAAATCCATCTCCCTCAATGCTGAAGTTAGAAATTCAATTAGAATTTCTGTAGCATAAAGGAGCAACTTAAATTCATTTTAAGGTAGTTCATTGACTTAAATGAGAATTTCAGCTTAAACTTAATTACAGAATTAAGTAAAGTTATTAATTTGTTAAATGAGAGACTACGCTAAAGAATGAACAACTTTCAGCTAGTTCTTTACCCAAAGCCTAGGGTTTTTTTTCAATATTTAAAAAAAGGCTTCTTGCTTTTTGTTAATCTCTCAGGGTTAGAAATTTACAATTTTTACTCATAAGATTCAACTCATTGCAATTGAAAATGGTGATTGGAATCTTTGAATATTTTTGTTCATGCTTGAGAGTATTCCAAAGTTAAACATTTAAATCAACAAGTAGTGGGGCAGCTTGGAAGGCATTCACAGGGCCCTTCGACACAGCCCTATCTCCCAGAATATCAAGGCAAAAAATCCCACATTATCTGAGTGTAGACGCAGATAACCCAGTTCAAAGCAGATATTGTGGGATTTTCTGCCTTGATATTCTGGGATATAGGGCTGTGTCGAAGGGCCCCCAGTTAGTCCTCCACATTTGCTGGATTAGGAACACAAGACCCCGTGTAATTGAAAAACTGCAAACAAAAAATTGCAATTTATAAATATGTTTCCTGTCTATTATATAAATCTCCCTATATATGTATCTATATCTATATTGATATTGATATCGATATGGACATAGATATGATTTTGTGGTCAACTCCTGCTGGAAACTCAACACATGCTACCTCATCACATGGATGACCCACCCCCCGGTGCTGTTTTGCCAGACCCTGTGACAAAACAGCAGGGTCGCAGGACACCTCCGTAGCCATGCATGGCACTCAAAAGCGGCGATGCTTCTCCCATCATACAGGAGAAGTGGCGCTGAAGCAATGCTGAAGTGTGGTGGCTCCCTTGGAGACTTCCCATGTTAGGAGGGAAGTGTCCTATGATACTTCTACTTTGGGTAGGGGTGGGGCTTCAACAAGAAATCCAGCAATGTCTTGTGATGTACAGCGTGCCTATCCATTGTTGGACTTTCCCTTTAACATCCTAGTATTTGGGACTTCAGCATGACCAGATAAACTCAAATTGGAATATCAACACGGAACGGCTAAGACGATGCAAACGGATGAGGAATTGAACTAAAAGACATTGTTTTATAGATTTTTATTATTTTTATTGTTTCTATGGTTTTTAGATGTATTATGATGTGTTTAAATTAATTTAATTGCTTTTAACCAATATGTATGTATTTATATATAGCATTTAATTGTTGCCGTTCTGTATGCTGCCCTGAGTCACCTTCGGGCTGAAATGGGTGGGATAAAAATGACGCAAATAAATAAATAAATAAATAAGTTACGTGTGATGAGTTCCAGAATCACACTGGAGGACCTAGAGATTCATAGAGACCATTTTAATCAAATGTGTGAATAATAAAATCTGCAGAAGTCAAACCCGCAAATCTGGAGGAACAACTGTAGTTATTTTTGCATTCTGAGGCTCTCCTGATATTTACATTGGGCAGTATTTACAGGTGTCACATTGGTACTAAAAAAAATCAATTTTGAAGTTGTTAACACTAGGGACGGTTAACCACGGTTAACCACGGTTTCTCCCTCTATTTTCCAGTTGTCAATCATTCTTGTTGCCATAATCTTGGTTTTTTTTGACGTTTAGCTGCAACCCGTCTTTTGCGCTTTCTTCTTTCACCTTGATTAGAAGGCTCCTCAGCTCCTCCGAAAGCGAGGAGGAGCTGAGGAGCCTTCTAATCAAGGTGAAAGAAGAAAGCGCAAAAGCTGGGTTGCAGCTAAACGTCAAAAAAACCCCAAGATTATGGCAACAAGAATGATTGACAACTGGGAAATAGAGGGAGAAAATGTGGAGGCCGTGACAGACTTTGTATTTCTAGGTGCAAAGATTACTGCAGATGCAGACTTTAGCCAGGAAATCAGAAGACGCTTACTTCTTGGGAGGAGAGCAATGTCCAGTCTCGATAAAATAGTAAAGAGTAGAGACATCAGACTGGCAACAAAGATCCGCCTAGTCAAAGCCATGGTATTCCCTGTAGTAACCTACGGATGTGAGAGCTGGACCTTAGGGAAGGCTGAGCGAAGGAAGATCGATGCTTTTGAGCTGTGGTGTTGGAGGAAAGTTCTGAGAGTGCCTTGGACTGCAAGAAGATCCAACCAGTCCATCCTCCAGGAAATAAAGCCCGACTGCTCACTGGAGGGAAGGATACTAGAGACAAAGTTGAAGTACTTTGGCCACATCATGAGGAGACAGCAAAGCCTAGAGAAGACAATTATGCTGGGGAAAATGGAAAGAAAAAGGAAGAGGGGCCGACCAAGGGCACGATGGATGGATGGCATCCTTGAAGTGACTGGACTGACCTTGAAGGAGCTGGGGGTGGTAACGGCCGACAGGGAGCTCTGGCGTGGGCTGGTCCATGAGGTCACGAAGAGTCGGAGACGACTGAACGAATGAACAACAACAACAACACTAGGGACCTCATCATATGGATGAGGTCCAATGGGGCGATTAACCACTCTCCGTAGCAAATCGGCAGGGCAACCAGTCAATCCCACACCCGCAGCTGATGCTTCCCCATCCCACTCTGGCCCAGTGATTGTCTATGGAACATGGCTAGCCTGATGCATTCCTAAGGAAGCATCCTGTCACGCTGTCAGGATGCTTCCTCCATGGAGCCCCGTCAGAAGTCACCATATGTCCTATGATGGGTAGCATGGGGCTCCAAGGAGGAAATTTCCTGGCAGTGTGGGTTAGGACGCTAAATTCGCCTCATGTGATCATGTGGTAGGACTTTTTGATATGGGCTCCACTTGGAAATCAGTAAGCTAAGGAAATTGGTGAGGGTAAGAAGATGAGCAGAAAAGCAAAAAGGAAAGAAGGGGATTTGAGGAGATGGTTAATAAATAAAATAATTTCTAAAAACCATGTAACTCTTCCCTTCTCTCTTAAATGCAACACAGGCCTCTTCCACACAGCTGAATAAAACCGCACATTATATGCTTTGAACTGAAATATATGGTAGTGTGGACTCAGATATTGGACCTTTCAACAAAGCTGAATAAAATCCCACATTTTCTGCTTTGAACTGTGTATATGGGCCCATTGTGGATTATTCTGCCTTGATATTCTGGACTATATGGAACAAACAAAGAAGACCCCACAGTGAAAAGAGAGGGGGATTATAACAAGGGAAGATATTTTGCTGTAATGGTTTTACTGTAGGCTTTTAACCCAAAATTAACTTACAACTTATCATAAATATAATAGCTATTTTACTTTCTGAAAAAAGTACCGTTCTTGAATTCATTTAAGCTTAATAATTACTAACTAAACACATTAACCCTTTCATATCAGGACTACACATATCCAGATTGCATGGATGCGAACATATGACACTGGTAGCTTGATAAATTACATTCTGATCATGTGGTGTAGTATTCATTCTTCTGTCCTTTTGAGACTCAAAACTGACAACAGAGGGTGCACCTACACTCTTGAATTAATGCAGTTTGACACCACTTTAAATGTAGTTTGACCCTTTAACTGTCTGGTCTTAACGTTATGGAAACCTGGGATTTGTAGTCTGGTGAGGCACCAGCACTCTATGGCAGATTTAAATCTGCAAGAGTGAATTAATGAACAAACAAAGAAAGAAAACACTGTTCCCAAATGCATGAATTTACTCTTTATATTAATAAATGTAAAAGAGACACTTTAGAGATCATGGTTTGAATCCCCCTCAACCATGGAAAGCCACTGGGCAATTTTAGGCAAATCATATCTATCTCTGAGGAAGATGAAGGCAAACCTTCTTGGAACAAATCCTGTCAGGAACCCCCCTGATAAGGTCATGACA